CTTCATACTGCAAAGATATATATTAATGCTATTTAGAAGATAAAGTGATGAGTATATACATATTTTTAAGTTGTTAAATAAATACATTAAAAAAAATAATTTTTGAATGAGAAAGTCTTAGCTTTAGTTGATGCTTAGATTCATATGATGCTTAGATCCACTAGTAGATCCAACATCGTTGAGGTTAAGGTTGGGGCGCTTCATTGGAACTAGAAGTTAGCTCGGCATCTAAATGCTCAACTACGTCAACAAACACTCTCTCGCTAGAAGTTTATGCATGACCCCACATAGCAACGACTCCACCAAGCATACGATCTAACTTTTCTTCAAGCTCAAGGTTAATACCACTAAACTTAAACTTTTTAGCAATTGAAATGACCTACAAATTAATGGATTATACATATTTAAAATGTAATTGAAGAAATAAATAATTGATAAGGGCTTCACGTTTCATAAATTCTTAACTCCAATCTCATGATCCATCATTCTTTTGAAGCGTCAATGGTTTTGCTTTATCATGTATCGAACCAAGCATGTGGATTCACACTTCAAATCTTTTCATATTTCTCAGTCATTTTTTAACCAATCCCACTTATTTTTCAATTGCATCCTATTGTATTCCCTTTCCCGTGCGCTCTCAAAACTTCTTTATTATATTTTGTCAGCTTTCATTTTTAAAATAGGTTGTTAATTTATTTCATAACTCCACCTCTTTTAAACAGATATCACAAAATATTATATTGCATATTTATCCCACATGACAAACAAACCAGTTTATTTTATCTTTACTGTGACCATGCTAGTATGAAAAAGAACCAAGCCACATAAATGTATAATAAAGGAAAAACAAATTGTAATTTAAAGTATCATAAGTCAAAAAGCCAGCTAAAATGAAACATCACAACAAACCACGAACATCAATATGACAATTAACAACATCACCACCAACATCAACACAAACCACCAAAACACCACCACCATGACACTGAAGAACCACCCCAACATCTATATGCTCCACTAACAACACCACCACTATGACGCTAAAGAATCACCCTAACATCTACACACACCACCATCATGACACTGAAGAACTACCACTGACATCTACATACACCACCAACAACACCACCACCATAACACTGAAGAACCACCTCCAACATCTACACACACCACCATAACACTGAAGAACCACCTCCAACATCTACACACACCACCAAGAGCATCACCAACAAAACCACATAGACCGACATCTCCAATAATAACTCCACCCCCAGCATCAACACACGCCACACCAACAACACCATCTTCAACATCAACACACACTACCATGGTGCAACATCACCACCAACAACACACAACACAGCGATACAAAAAAAAACATCATCAACATCACCACCAACATTGCATATCATTACTCCAACAAAGAGGGCAAACCACCAAAAAGACCAACCAATGAGTTGAGCAGCAAGACTGTTCCAATTGAACTAGCAAAATGAAGAGACGATCACCCTCTTCCATCCATCTTTAAAATTCTCACTCAAATATCAAAGGTCATGATAAAAAAGGTCATGATAAAACCCAACCCATAAAACCCAACCCATATATATATAATCAAATTTATGCCTAAATTTTGTGGCACGTGTAAATGCATCAAATTCATAGTTAAGAAAATCAACTGAGGTAATTGTTTTGCAAAAAACAATTTTTTTTTGTGCTTTGTATGTAATTGTCTAAAAATGAAATAGAGGGGAGAGCTCAACTAAGCAAGTCACCCTAATCATCCCATAAAATGAAATGAAATCAATGTATGAAATTGATTTGTAAATAACACACAACTATATGTAATTATCCAAAAAAAAAAATATCTTCCCAACAACGACCAAGAAATCACAAGATAATCACACGGGTCATGATAAAAAAACCAGAAATCAGAAAAAACCAAACCATGGATCGCAAAAGCAAGACACAAATGAAAAATCTTCAAACCATAAGCTAATTTCAATGTTAATAGGTAAGGTAGAGATTACCAATAGGAGAATGCCACCAGAATTGAGTATTCAGAGAGAATGAAGGAAGATACGAGGAGAATTGCCACCATAACCCGCCGAAGACAGTTGGAGGCAGAGGAGGAGGGGCTAGGGCAGAACCAAACACTGGGTTGAACCACGATAGGAATAAGAGGAGAAGAAGATAAAAAAGACATACCAACTCATTACAGACAAAACATATTCTCGAGACTTCATGACCTGCAACAACAAGATTAGGGGTGTAAACGAACCGAACACGAACGAACAGTGCTCATGTTCGTGTTCGGTTCGTTTGAAATATAATTTGTTTGAAATAGGCTCGTGTTCGAAATTGTTCGTGAAGAGTCTGTTCGTGTTCGGTTCGTTTTTGTTTGAATTGTTCTAATCGTTCGAATCGTTCGAATTCGTAATGTTCGAAATGTCCGAAATGTTCGAAATTCTCTCTCTCTAAATTAATTCTTATGTATTTACAATTTTACATGTCTAACACAAAAATTTTATATTTTAAATAAATTGTTTTTCCATATAGATTATGTATGTAACAATTTTACATGTCTAACACTCAACAACATAACAATTGCAACAAAATGTATATTATATAAAGAACTGAAAAGCAACAAGAAAATAAATACAATTTTACATGTCTAACACTCTAAAAATCACTCTAGAAATCCCAACGTTCATTCAACTTTAATCCTTCAGTCTGCTCATTTCAGAAGAATGAGTTAAGTATGTTTCCACTTTTATCAACTGAATGTTGGTCATTATGGTTGTTTGCGAACAATGGAGAAGTATGTTGCAAAAAAGATATGTAATTTAGGATATATGTAATCAACTGAATGCTGGTCATTAAGATGACATGTATGCAAAAAATGTAATTTAGGTGTGGGATATATAAATATATAAGTGAGTTATATATATATGTAAATCATCCAAAAAAATAATTGAAACATATACCTTGCGTATTGCATCAAGTTCGTACAGCAGAACCTGATAAAATTGTCTTTCATTTACGTGACTACGTCATCCCTGCATGCAAGGAAAGACACAAATAAATAGTCAAATGGAAGAGCACAAACAAGTCCACGCCGTGGATCCTGTTCAATTTTATACAAATCCTAAATGAGTTCTTGGCGAACACAAACAAGTCTAGAACCTGATACATACCACTCAATTCTTATGCATTTACATATCTAACACCTAATTTTCAATTTTTACAAGCATGAAGCATGTATGAAAATAAAAGTTAGGTAAATCTGTAACAGCTATGATGGTGAGAGCTCAAGAAGCATGTATGAAATGGTAGAAACTCATACCTGCAATGACATCCATGATCCATCCCCATCCAGTCAATATTATGTTTCCTACAACTGTCAATAGGTCATTTATGGCCATACAATACATTACAATAGAAATGAAATTAACACACATTTTCAGCCCATAAGGAGGAGCATCCACCAGCAGATTCTCACACATTCTCATCTGCAGACTGCAAACACATAGAACAGCTCCACACCCTTCAACTCATCCACTTTTACAAAACTACGCACGCACGCATACAAATACCAATACGATACATAAAACCAACTCTAAATTAAAATAATAAGCTTTTTATCAATGTTTACAGCTGCCAATGCTAAACACACATTTTCAGATTCTCATTTAGCTGCCAATGCTAAGCTTTTTATCAATGTTTACACCCTTCACCTCATAAGGGATATATATATAACAGATTCTCATTCAGCAAAGCAGCGGTTGCCCATAAGGAGGACCATCCAAGCTGCAAACACACATTTTCAGCCCATAAGGAGGACCATCCACCAACAGATTCTCATTTAGCAGTGAAGTTCTACAAAACAGTAACAAGCACTAAATGGGACAGCAAGAATCCCACCGAGCAGACAGCACCAGGGCAAAACAGACACCAAAGACCATAAAGTGGAAGCCAGTCCACCGATGTAGACAGCAAGAATCCCACCCAGCAGGCAGCCGAGATAAACTCAAATGCAACAGTAAAACAAAAAATAGCCACAGTAAGACCACCACCACTAAAGATTGACTTGTGGTTTGAGATAAGATTCAACATAATCTAATTTTTATAACTCATGTGAAATCTGAGAAAGAACTAGGAGATATCTTCATAAATATCCTTAAACAACCTAGCAGGCAGATAAAATAAAGATGCTGGTTTAGCTCCAAAATGCTAGCCACCTCAGCCAGATAAAGTAAAGAATCCCACCCAGCAGACAGCAGCAGGGCAAAACAGACACCAAAAACCAAAAAAATGGAAGCCAGCCACCAGAGAACCTATGTAGACAAAAGCCAGTCCACCTATGTAGACAGTCACAGCAAGAATCCCACCCAGCAGAGATGAACTCATAAGAATTCAGTGGATATGAATATGCATGAAACATTACAAAGGTCTAAAATAACAACAAATATGGTAATCTTCCTCCAATACAACAACAACAAATGCCTCACTCCCACTTCAAAAAAAAAAAAAAAACAAACAAACAAACAAAAAAGCTTATATCTTAAAAAATATGATTGCAAAATATGTTAAAAATATAAACAAAAAAGCTTATATCTCCCAATGGTAATCTTCCTCCAAACAAAATAAGATTGCAAAATATGATATTTTATATCTTAAAAAAAATACCTGTAAGGGGCTAAGAGAATTAAGCTATTTCTCATCATCTTGCTGTCCATGGTTAACAAAAACATAACTCAATAAAACAAGAAATAGGCACACATACCAGTTCAAATAGCCAAACCTCTTACAAATATCAAAATCCTCAATCTTGAGTCTCACTAGAAGACTAGAAGAGCATGCCAGTTCACGTAAGCCATTGATGAACATTAACATAGCAAAATAGCAAGTGTGAAAATAATAGTTAAGTGTCTGATAAAGTTAAAAGCTACAACAGTATAAAAATTCTTAGCAATGATAGCGTAGACTTGGCTAAGTTGGCTTCATATGTTTGGAAGCTGAATATTAAGTTTTTCCTCATCAAAAATCTCTTGCTGAAAAGAAACAATAAAAATAAATATAAATATCTACTATTGTGAAAAAAATAAAATACAATAGAAAGTAGAAATAAATATACTTAATTTAAAGATTACCGCTAATGTCTTAGTATTTTGTTGTGTAGATCGAATCCAACTAGATGCACAAATCAATGCGTTAACAGTTTTAGTAGATAAACAACTTCTGTAATCATCCAACACCCTACCGCCTGCACTAAAAGCTGATTCTGAGGCAACTGTGGTTATAGATATTGATAGAATATCTCGAGCCATAATAGAAAGTTGGGGATACTTCAATGTATTCAACTTCCACCAATCGAGCACATCAAAATTTTTATTAGAACACATAAATAATCCCTCCTCAAGATATACTTGTAAATCAGGTTTTGATGGTTCCACAGAACCAGATGCTACAACAAAATCTTGAAATCCAAACATTGCGTCAAAATGACTTGAGGAACTCGTAGTATCAACTGCAGATAAAGTTCCCGCATTGGAAACATTACAATCAACAATATAATCTGCATATATTTCCCACAAGGCATCTTGAACTATGTTAAGATTTTGGTCAACCTCGTTTTGTGAGTATATCTTTGGGAATGTGTAGCTAATAAACTTTAGCTTTAACCTAGGATCCAAAATTGCTGCAATAGACATAAGAAGATTACATTCCCCCCAATATTTGTTGAATTTGACTTGCATACTCCTAGCCATATTCCTGATGTAATCATCTTCTGACAATGACTCTTCAATCAAAATCATCTTAACATGTGAGACTGCAGGTAAAAATATATTTGCAGTAGGATATTGTGTGCCAGAGATCATATTTGTAACATTATTGAAAATTGAAAGAAATTTTCTGATTTTCTCATATTTCACCCATTCTGAATCAACAGGCAACCATTTGTAGTTGCTATCTCTTACTGCGTAGTGAGAAAAAACATTGCGATAAATAAATGCAGACTCCAACATGTTAAAAGTTGAGTTCCATCTAGTGGAAACATCAATGGACAGTGATTTTTTAGTTGCAACACCCAATTGTTTTGCCACCTCTACAAACTTATGTAATCTTGCAGGGGATTTTTTCAGATATTTCACCGTTTCTCTGATATTTTGTATGATTTCATGAACCTCCTTTAGCCCATCTTGGACCATTATATTGATAATATGTGCGCAGCATCTGACATGAAAAAAAAAACCATGGAAGTGCAACTTTCCGCGTGATTGAAAATTTGATTTTAATGAACTAGCAGCCACGTCATTATTACTTACATTATCTAAAGTAATTGTAGATATTTTATCCAGAAGATTCCACTCCAACAAGCACTCACAAATAGCAT